CTTGCTTCCCTTGCCGGTTGAGTTTCTTCCTTTCCCCCCCTTTCCCATTTCATAGCGTCTGTGTCCTAATAAATATCTCCTCCTTAGAGTTCCTTCTCCTTCCCCACTGACCTTATTCTTTTTCCTGATTCATTCCCTTACTCTACTTTATACACTCAAACCTAAAGATTGGATTCTTATTTCCTAAACATGTTAATGGGATGGCTTTTTTGATTTACTGCATTACATGGATGTCTATTAAGTCTCATTAAAACATATGCTGACATCGTAAAATATTCTCAAAACCATTACCGTCAATTGAAATTGCAAATGTGTATTGACTGTCTGTGGAAAGACAAGTGCTGGCTAATTTTTGGTGATCTAAATTGGGACATAATCTCAAAAACATAACCCAGATACCTGAACTATTTAATATGTGATAGGCAAGGTCAGCATTAGCAACATTTGATCCAACCCAATAATTTGGGAAAGAGGTTTAGTTGAATGCACTCTTGCAATAAATATTTACACAACAAAGAAAAGACAGAACATTCCAGTGAGAAAATTTGAGATAGTTACACATGTATGACAGAACACATCACATAAATGGTACTGTAGAGAGTAGTTCTATTTGTGAAAGAAAATGCACAAACCATGAAGGCAAAGAGCAAATAAGAAGGAAGAAGTAAGTATGTAGAAACTATGTGCATCATGATGAAGATTTATACTTTATATAGATAACTGACTATTAAAGAGCTTAAAGTAGTACAATCACATGACTAAAGTTGCAGTTTTAATATATTTTTTAAAGTACTATCATTCTTTTTGAAGAAAAGGCAAATCTTGATTAAAGAAAAGAGCTATTACAGTAATCTAGATTAAAGATAGATGTTACAGTAACCTAGAGGGGAGATTATAAAAGCCCAATAGGTCTGTATACTAGAAATGGAAATAGAAGATGGATTTGAGACATATTCAGATGGTGGGAGAGGTCAGCAGCAGTTGTAGATTGAAGCAGATTTGTGTGTATGGAAGTCTAACTAATTTACAGGTTTCTGTTGCTAGTCATGCTGATTTGGTGGATGATATTGCCGTGGGTAAATACAAGAAGTCTTTTTTATTTTTACTACTGTTTTGGACAACAGACCTCACAAGTGCTAGGCTTTATCTCTGTGCTACACCCATTGCCAGGAAGATAAATAAATTTGAATGGAGGGGAAGAGTAGATGATGGGTTAACTTTGATCTATTAAGTCTGGGGTGTCTGGAAATTTCAGGTGGATTTTTTTTTATTATAAATGCTTGGCCAATAGCTCAGGCTTGTTACTAACTAGTGCTTGTAACTTAACACATTTCTATTCATCTATGTGCTGCTCCAAGGCTCATAGCTTTTAACTCTATCCCATTTTTTGTGTCTGACTTGTTCTCCATCTGGCTGGCGACTCCTCTAACTCTGCCCTTCTTTCGTAAGCAGGTTTGGGGATTCACAGGTCTTAAAGCTAGTGGAGATGTAAAAGCTGGAGAGCTGGATTTAGAAATCATCATTATTTAAAACTAGGAAAACATATGAGAATGCCCAATTAAAATAAACTTGCATATCTTTCATGTGTACTTTTCAAATAGGCCTTTGGGTTCGTCCTTCACTTCTTGGTTATTTACCTGTATTTTCACCTGCTCTGGAATGTCATGGCCAACACAGAATGTGCCTATTTTGCTTTAGTCAAAAAATGACGAACTCTGTGACAGGAAACCTGTCTACCTGTGGTTCTGAATGCCCTGTTCTTATCATCATGTTTGCTGACTTAGCCAACAGTGAGCAAGCTTCTCCAGAAGTGGATACACCTTTCTGGTGTCTTACATGGTTAAAGCATTCTCACACAATCCACTAACAATAGTGTATCTTCAGGAATATGAGCATGGGGCTAGGTGAAAGGTCTATATGACCTGTCTCTGTCAACTATTAGTGATGACTCCATGTTCAATGGATAGAAGACATGTCAAACTGTCATCCTATGACTCTAGAGAACAGAAGTCTGACATCAGGTTAAATGGGCTAAAATTGAGATCCTAGCATTCTTCCTCTCGAGGCTGCTGAGGAAAGCTGTTCCCTTACTGGTTTTCATGTCACAGAAACCTGCATTCCTCACGGCTGTCTTTCTCCATCTTCAGAGTGTACAGAGTGCAGAATCCTGCCTTTCCTTTCTGCCTTTTGCTTTCCTTGCCCTCTCCCTATGATAAGGACCCTTGTCATCAGAAAGACTCCAAGGAGTAGGGTGATAAGCTTTCTGTCTCAAGATTTTTAATTTAATCTTATTTGTGAAGCTCCTTTTCCCACAGAAGGCATCATTGACTTGTGCCAAGGATTATGACTCGGACATCTTTTCATGCATTATTCAATTAACACACTGGGATTAGCAGCTGACTAGCTCTGACTTGTGGACTGCTTATATTCTGCTTATATAAATAATTATTCATATGGTAGCTATTAAGCAACATTTTAAAAGTCAAATAAACAAAAGCATATGGATAACAACAAAAAAGAAATGGTATCAGTTTTTCTTATAAAATATTATTTGTTTCAAAGTAACTGTAAGAATATATATAATGGAAATTATATATTATTCACATATATAACATGTGATAATGTAAATTCAATAGCCAGTCAATGAACTAGACATTTATCCTTTTTTAAAATCTCAACATCTAGTTCTCCTTCTTTTGAATTCTTACCTTATTTTGATGAATTATCTATTTCTAATCACATGTATTTCTCAAAGACTGGTGAATCCATGTACCTGCCTTAAATTGTGAACATTAAGTCCTCATCTGTGTTTTCTCCCCTTGCGGTACAGCAGGCACTTAGTGCCTATATGAAGCCTGGCTGGTCAGATACTCAAGCCAATAATGCTAAGTCTTGGTCCAGCAGTAGGAGAGTAGAACCAATCATGGGTTTTCTTTCTTTTTTGACTCTATAATAACAAACTAAACTCTTCCTAGCTTCCCTGGTTCCTCCCCTGTGAGCATCCCCTCATCTCTTGATTGCTAATAACACTGGTTTTGAACCTGTTCTTTAATTTTGGAGGTTTTCACTGTCTTTCTGATGAATAACTTTCACTTATGTTAGTCATATTTGGCTTCTATCACAGTCAGAAGATCCTCACAAAAGTAGTATTGTATAGATATTATTTTTCTCCTATAAGAAGTTTAGTTTCTGAGATCAAATGCTCTACCACTGATCTATATAGACTATATTGCATGAAAGAAATCTATTTTCAATAATAATAAAAGAATTTTGGTTTCTCGCAAGTTATTTTCTTCATTAAAGCCATATAATTCATGTTAGGGCTTAACAATTATGAATATTTTCTTTAATATGTGACATCATTTGAAAAATATGTGTGGATCCAACTTATTTAGAAGCCTGTAAAAGCCCTGGAGTTCCCCTTTCCAACTTATGAAGGCTATTTTCATCGGCCTCTTCAGGAAGCCGGATAAGAAGCACAGGCATCCCCCCACATTGTCATTCTTGAATTGACTGGGGATATGTTAGAACGCTAAGAGTTTACCTCTATTTAGTAGCTTAATTATTTTTTCTCTCTCTTTAGTGGAAAATCACTTAGTGAAATTGTGGAGATTATTTGTCTGAGTCATATTTTTATGGAAACTGCTTTTCACTTCTATGCATTTTTAGAAGTGTTTTCTTTAAAAAGGATATTCTATTAATATTTATAATTAGATAGCACACAAAACAGATGCTAAATCTTATGTTATAACTTTCTGGGTACAATTACATAAAGAAGATTATATACTTTTCATCAGAATGTTCTCCCCGGGAGCTGAAGAACAAAAGAGCTTTCTCTGTGAACATGCCATTTCTTTTTGGGGGTGGAAGTAAACAGAAAGATGGTGATTAACCACAATTAACGATTTTAGCACGTTAGTGTTGATCCTGAGTGTCATACTTAATGCCTAGTGTTAGTATGGAGTAGAACAGCATTGTGGTGAGTTCTTAATTGATTGACTTGGTCTTTTTTTTTTTTTTTTTTTTTCACCTTACTTCTCAGTTAACCTGTTTCCATTATTATCCTGGTCCTTTTGTGATGCTGGTGGATCCATCCTACTTTCAGAGCTTAATGGTATATCCACGAAGTGGTAGTATTCAGTATCCACCAAGGGGCAGAGGGTGTGGATTTTGCTGAGGTCCGAGGAAAGAAGGAAATAGAATTTATTTTCTTTTCTTGAATTAAAACAGTGAACGAATGCAAAATGTATCGTCTAATCTAATCCATACAACCTGCCCAAGAGCTGTTGTAAAGACAAGAAACTGAGTCGCCAAGGAAGAACAGTTTTGAGTATTCGGGCTAGGCTTGAAGTCCTCTGTGATGTGTAAATCCGAGCCTTTCCACTGTCTGTCTCTTCCTAAGTGGTTACTTCAATGGTGGGCTCCGAGGATGGAGAGGAGAGCTCTCCAATAACCGTTTGCCCAAAGAACAGGGTCTCGTGGATGGACCGACCCTGTAAGTACTGAGTTCTGCTTTCTCCACTTAGACTGGCAGAGTACTGAGCCAGCGCTGGGCAGAAAGGAGCGGAAGTTTACTTCCCCCCCCAAGACGCTGCGCAAGGGGACGGATAGGTCACGCCCACTAGCGGGTGGCCGCCTCTGGGCTCCAGGCTGGGATGCTGGAGTCCGCTCCCAGTGAGGCGCGAACGTACTTGCCACGGGAGGCTGAGCGGACCAGAGCGCACCCTCCGGGAGCCGCCGGCGCCTCCCCGCGGCCCGGGACGCACGTGCCTGGGCCAGGGCCAAGGCCAGTGGCCACTCCGTAGTAAGCGGGGCGGGTGGGAGCGCCTGGCTTCGGGCCGCGGCCGCCGCCCGCCCGCCGGCTCCGGTGGTTGGGCGGAGGAAGCGCGGGACTCCTCCTCCCCGCCGTATTAACATGCACCCAGGGGCGGGTGACCAGCCCAGCCTCGCCGCCCCTGCCCGCCGCTGCGTCCCGGCGCTCAGCCTCCGCGCCAGAGGCGAGCGTTGCGCTCCGGGCGCCGCAATCGCGAGGACGCGGCCTCGCAGCCACCTTCCGCCGCCGGCGGGGAGCGGTAGGACCCGCGGTGCGAGCGGCCGCAGCCACCTCGGAGCCCGGCTAGGCTCCTTCCCTTCACCTCGCTGAGAGGCGTCCCCGGGGCCGCGGGGCCACCGCTCTGGCCCTCGCTCCGAGGCTCGTGGGGCGGACGGACGGACACAGACAGACGGACGCCACCAGCGGAGTCCGGGACTGCGGGCAGCGGCAAGGTAATGCCGGGCTGCACGGCGGGGCTGGGGCGTGCGCGGCGGCGGCGGCGGCGGCGGCGGCGGCGGCGGTGGCGCGCTGGGTGGCTCCTGCTCACCTCCCGCTGCGAGGTCGCGGCTGCCCTAGCATCCTAGGGACTGCGGGCTGTCTCTGCTGGCCATTGGCCGCCACTCTCAATTCCCTGACTCCTGCCCAGGGTGCACGTCTGGTCCCGGTGGTGACCTCGGGATCCCCGGGGCTAGCGTACCCTTTCCCAGGCATAGGATCCTCAAAGCTCCCAGGGGTTGTTCGAGAAGGGACAGATTTTTAACTGAGACTGGGTCCTCTGAAGGGGGAGGGGAGGGGACAAGAACCTAGGTCCCGTGTGTCTAACGTCCCCAGCCAAATTCACACCACACCGGGGTTTAGCACCTTGCAGGCAAGGGCTGCTGCTCACTGCAGGAGACTTCACCATGAGCTTTTGAGTCCTTTGCAAAGCAAGTTGTTGCACTCTTTGTGTGTGTGTGTGTGTGTGTGTGTGTGTGTGTGTGTGTGTGTGTGTGTGACATTTTTGGCATTGGTTGTGAAGAGCGACTCCTTCCCCGTGTGTGGAAGAGGGGGAGAGAAAGACAGAGAAAGAGAGACACAAAGACAGTGGCACAGAGAGACGCACACAGCGGACAGGGTCCCAGGGGGGTCACCGGAGAGTCACTGTGGTCAACTGCCCGCGAATCCTGTGGCAGGCGGTCAGAGCCTGTCTTCAAAGGACCAAATGAGTGGCGCTGGAGCCTGGAGGAGCCAGCACCTCTCCTTGCTCCAAGCTGGGCCAGATAACAAATTGCACTTTCACGAGGGGCGGCTGCAGCTGCGGGAGGGACCTTAATGGTTCCGCGTGGCGATGATGAAGACCTTGCATTCAGGACCCGCGGAAGGCAAGGGGTTCCCGTCTTCATGAAGTCCCCGAGGTCGTGGGAAGGGGCAGCCGTGGCCCCGGGTGCCCGCTCCAGAGACACTGAGCGCCTGTGCCAGGCGGGCGCCGTGCTGGCCCAGGATGCCTGTTCACCCCTTGCCTGGCCTGGAGCGCTGCGGAATTTTCTGTCTGAGAAGGGGAGGGCATACAGACGGGAAGGGGTTGCAGGTGGCAAAGCTAGGAGGACCCGGTCTCTGTGGGATGAGAGGTTACGTCTTTTATGGACCAGACGAGACTCTCTTCACTCCTCTCTAGGAGAGACATGGAGAAACTGATTCTGAGCTCTGCGAGGCAGCAGATCGATCACGCCTCCTGGCCTAGCAAGTGAAGTTACAACAGAATTACAAGATGGATAATAAAAGTCACAATGACAGACAGATCTTTAGCTTTTGTGGTCTTCATGAATGACTTCGTAGAAGGTGGTAATGGGTCATCCTAACATGGATGAGGGAATGCTTAGAATTCAGAACCCAGGAAAGGAATTTAGGGCCAAATACAAACATCTTGCAGCCCCCCTCTCTCAGTTTCTCCTTGGTTGGTTTGTTTCTGTTTGTTTTAAATCAGAGGTACTGTCATGAACTGCTTTTTTTTTAACTTAACAGTTATTTATATCACAATTTCAGTTTCAGGAAACGTCTCGCTATTGGTCCCCATCATTTCGTGTAGATAGCAATTCTGTTTAGTTCAAGTCAGATGGAAATGACAGGCAGGCAAGGGATGATGCAACTGTTCCGGTTCAGACAACACCAGAGGAAAGTTGTCTTTGTTTACGTTGTGTAAAAGGAAATCCAATACATTAAAAAACAAAACAAAACTGTATAACATGTTCAGAATTTAAGTGCTAGAATTTAAAAGCTACCTTTGGGCCCAGGAAATCTCAACTTTGGAAATGAAACTGATAGAAATCTGGTGTCCATAGCTTGCTTCTTCATTTTATTTGGATTTGATGGTTCAGCTTAAAGTTGCTGGGACCATTGCTGTAAGACATTTATTCCAAGTTCTAGGTCTAAAATTCTGTGATTTTTTTTTCTTTAAACTGAGTGATTTGCTTAAGAGAACATGTAACTTCTCATGAGAAAACATTTGTATATGTAGGCTAAGTTTCAAAAACTACATCTGCATCTCTCTCCGTTATTCTAAGATTTGCTGTTAAATAAAATGTAGACAACATAGGGAGGGAGTGGGAGATGGATAGGACCAAGATATATTGTATATTTGTATGAAAAAATAAATGCAGGCAACATAAATGTTGGCAAAAAGAATAGTTAACAGATGTTTTAAAAGACCACAAAGTACTTTTCTGACAACACTTTGCAAATTATATTCAAGCCGGTGTGCTGAGTGGGAATGACACATGCATAAGCTTTCCCTGTGGTGACTTGAATGGTTCAGCACCTCTCATGTCCCCCTCCAGATTCATTTTATTCTAGCAGGACTGAAAACATGATGAATCACTTGAGCAATTATTCAAAGCAAGTGGAAAGAGGACCTCAAAGTATTACGCAGAGAAAGACCACAAACCTACATGTTCTGCTTACCAGATTCTGATGTTTTAAATTTCTTACTGAATCCAGACTTAGGGACAGAAACTGTATGCACCTAGATCTATTCAGTGCGTACCTTTGTTCCAAGTAGCCATCAAGGCTGATATTTCATATAAAATTAACACCACCGAGATGGGAGGTTGTTGGACAACACAGCGGCACTGTGGCTACCGTTTGATAGAGGCATGCACCATCATTTTTTTTTTTTTCCTTTCAGGAAACTCTTGAGGAAATAGAGTTTTCACTGTTTTTATTCCACACAATACTTTCTAACGGAGAGTAAAAAGTAAAACCTAAAAAAAAAAAAAGTAAAACCTTTCTATAGTGAAAGTTGTGTAATCAACTCAAACGCATATTGTGTCACTTTCATGATCATTCTCATCCATTTTTCTTGCCGTCGTACGTGACCTCTTGAAAAAGAGAGGAGAGAGGTGGCTCAGCAGTTAAGAGCACTGACTGGTGTTCCAGAGGAACCGGGTTCAATTCCAGAGGAACCGGGTTCAGTGGAAGAGGAACCGGGTTTAACTCCCAGGTCGTCCGGAGTGCGATCACACCAGGATAAAAACAAACAACAAACAAACAAACAAACAAACAAACAAATGTATGGGAGAAGGGACCGTGTGACCCCCTGGCTCCTCTCTTTTTAAGAGGTCATGTACAAAGCATGGCAAGAAGCACCGCCTCCTTCAGGCTGTAGAGCCCAAGGTCATGGGTGGAGCATATACCACTACCATTCTAGCCTTTATCAGAGGGGAGAGAATTAGTTTCTACTTAGGGAGGCTTCCAACTGGAGGACTTCATGAAGATTCCATTTCTTTAGAAACTTTACTTTTCCTGATTTAAGGAAATGATATGGCTGTGAGTTATTTCTTTTCTCTTTGCATTGGCAGGTTGGTTTTTCCTTAAAATTCACATTAAAATGAGAAGGCTAATTAGGATTTTGAAAACCTCAGTACTGACGTCCCATAATTATAATTCATGCCTATTATATGTTGGTCTGTTGTGTGTTTAAAAATGTTAGGGTAAGAGCACCTACAACTCTTGCAAAGGACTGTAGTTAGTTAACAGCCCCCCATTGAGCAGCCCACAATTGTCTCTAACTCCAGATCCATAGACTTCGGTGCCCTCTTCTGGACTCTCTGGGTATGTGCACCTAAGTGCACATATCCACAATTAAAAATATAAATCTTTTTTAAAATTAGATGACTGTTATCATAATAAGGCCTTTTGCTAACACTCTAGAAAGGTTTTGTGCTGCTGAGAACATTGGGAGTTGAAAAACACCCCATGTCTTGGGCTTTCTTTTATTCCTAGAAAATCCTAAGTGCTTTCAGTTCTGTTTTCCAAGGAAAGAATGGTTAGAGTGCCCCTCAAGACATCCTTTATGGTTTTAATTCATGGGAGACTTTGCAGCCTGATTATTTTTCAATGCTGGGGAAGGTTGCTTTCCCTAGATTTGGTCTCTGTCAGTAGTCATCCAAGATTTGTTACTAGGAAGACCTGAAACATTCTCCACAAAAAGAAGGTTTATTATCAGCCTTCTCACATCCTCTTTAAACAACCACACAGGGCTGGTGGCATGGAATTCAAGACACTTTTCTTCAACCCATATCCATTTAGTTGTGTAATTTGTACTCATGGTTTCCTGGTCTGCCGCTGTGCAGTGTACAAACTTCCACAGCAAACCGGATTAAGAAGAACAAGAAAGTGGGTGTGTAGGTCAGGGAGTCTGAACAGTGAATGGTCATCCTTTGGGTCCCACCGCTCGTTACCGTGATTTCTGAGAACCTGATCTTGCACAGAACTGCTGACCCAACTATTTCCCAGCCTTCATTCTCGTAGGTGGTAGGGCTGAGTGAATGTTTTCATCTTTAAATAACTTAAAATTTCCCTGATTGCTGTCTATCATCTTCTCCCTCTTACAGAAGTCAATAACTACTGGGAAACAAGTAATAACCCAGTTAGGAAAACTGGTGCACACCAGACACTCTATCTGATACCTAGTTCTGACATAAGCCAGTGTGCCTGGGATGTGACTGCCTGTTTTACATTTGGTTACAAACTAGATAGCAATGCCCCGAATACACAAGGAAAATGTAAACTCACCCTCCTCCCTCTTCCTAGAATTTGCCAGAGATGAAACCATTCATTTTCATATTCACTTATAACTCGAGTCTGTTGTCACTGACAATTTGTCTGTCTTCTCTCAGTGTTTCTTGTCAGATTCGTAAGCAACTACACAAAGCCAAGCTATGAAGTGTGTCATTTGGAGCTGCCCAACCTTGCCAGGTTTCCTTAGTATTCAACATCGCGATGAGCGTGTGGAAGCCATGGTTAAGTGACTGGAAAAGGAGGGATTGTGCTGTGATCGCCTCATCTCCCTGGCCTTGAGTCAGAATCTCAGCACCAAGACTGTTCAGAGACATTTAAAGGGCTCCCTCAGGTGGCTTGTGAGAAGGTCTCTCTGGGCACATCTCCAGCTCTGCCTCCTAACTCTGTGGCATGGTTT